AAAGGAGCGGTGGGTTCCTTTTAAAATCCGAAAACCAGCGGTCCAGCCGCAGCGCCACTTGGAAGAAAGAAGCAGATGGTGGAGAAAGGGCTGTTTAAAATAAAACCGACTTTCCCCCCTTTTTTCCATTTCTTTATTTTTAGCCTGCGATGGCACTTGTGCCAGGTGCTTTCTTGAAGGAAAAGAACGGCCCGTGCCTTTTGCACCCCTCTCCCCATCCCTGTTCCTACTCCAGGCCTTTCCAAGCGCATTTTCACCCGGATGATTTTTCTGTGCCTTTTTGCACAAGGAGACCCCTCGGGCTGTGGACTTTTGGGGCGAGGCCGACGTTCAGGGGCACAGGGCTGCTTCCTCCCCGCAGGGGTCGCCCGCGGGGTAGTGCAGCTTGCCAGTGGGCTTAGCGGAGCAGCAGAGAGAGGTCGTGCACAAAGTTTTCCAAGGTGGTGGTTTATTATTTTTTAAAGAGTCGTTGAACGTTCTCTGATTCTATCCTGCCCTGAAGTGGGAAGGAAAAACAAAAGGGGAACCGTGGGCAAAGGGAAGGTAAGACAGAGAAAGAAAGGAAGTCGGGAAGACGGAAAGGAGGGAAAACGGAAAGGAGGGAAAACAAGCCAAAGGAAAGGGGAGAGAAAGAAAAAGAGAAGAAAAAGAAAGAAATGAAAAAGAAGAGAGGAAGCAAGAGGAATAGGTAAGTGAAGGAAGAGAAAAGGCAGAGTGAGGCGAAGCAAAGAAGGGACAGAGAGAGAGGGAGAAGGGAGAAAGGAAACAAGAGAAAAGGCAAGCGATGGAGAGAGAGGAAAGAGCAGGAAAAGTGAGGAAGAAGGCGGCGGTCTGAGTGTGGTGGCTCAGGGCCGCAAGCGCCTGGGCCGGGAAGCCCTGGGAGTAGCGGCGGGCCGGCCGGCGCGCTGACCGCTCTCCCTTGCCCGCAGGCTCCCCCAAGGGCAGCAGCGCCCCGTTCGAGGCCGAGCTGCACCTGCCGCCCAAGCTGCGGCGCCTGTACGGCCCGGGC